TACTACAGATTTAATATAGAGATTGCATGCTTTTAACATAATTATTAACTAAATGTTATTAATTCTTCTCCCATTTTCGAAAATTCCAGAATTTATTCTAAATGTAATATCGCCGTCTTCCTCCGCGACCCTTTCACTTTTAAAAATCCGCATATAAAATAGTACGACATTTGATTGCTAATAACTCTGATTAACTCTTTTAGTGAATACTACAAATTTAATATAGAGTTTGTATACTTTTAACGTAACTATTAACTAAATTTTATTAAAATTTATTAGATGCCACTCCGACAGTTCCCTTGTTAGTTCAGTGATAGCAGCTTAAAAAAAAACTAATTTTAAAAAGAATCTTGAATAAAAAAAATTTAACATCTAATTCACTATTAGTAAATTATTAATGTTAAGAATAAATTTTAGATCAGGCATCAAGAAATGTATAAAGTCACTTAACAAGTTTTTCAATTACTTCATTCAATAAGTAATTTGGAATTGATTTCTTCTGTTATGAAGAGAATTTAAATAACTGAACTAAAAATGTCTTATCAAGAGCTCTCTATTAATTTTAATGATTTGTTAATTTTGAACAATGTTTATATTATATTATATTGGCTTGAATATTAGTTGATGTTTCTTTCAGTTTTAAAGAAGAAAAAAATTGCTTTTTATCAATGTTCAAGCTTCATTTTATATTTGAGTCTGATAAAGTTTTCCTTGATTTCAATAACTGTCTATATTATATATTTTTCAGAGTTAAGCTGACACTAAAATTTTTGGTATATCAATTGTTTAGTGATACTTAACATCAACCAACTTGTGACCTGTTTTGCTGCAGCCAATAAACTGTCTGGGAATTAAGTTTTTGGCACAATTGTAAATAATTAATTTATTGATGTTTTTTGAACCATTCGCAAAACTAAGCTGTTAGATTCTGTTGAATATGGTAAAAACAACTGATTTTGATAACTTATCAAAAATTTATAGTAAAAACCGATGGTATATTTAATCCAGCAGGGTATATTGAACAACTCAAACAAACTTACAAAGAAATAGCAAGAGTCAATAACATCTCTATTGCCTTCAGGTGCTACCTAATATACCATTTGATTAGGAATTATAAAGATCCTCTAAGTGAGCTGCAACTCCCAGGAGTATACACTATTACAGTTAGACCACAGGGGTGTCCAGGATTTGCAGTAGATTGGGTCCATGACCTGCCCACTCAACCAATATTTAAAGGAGCAGTTATCATTGAAAAAGGTCACAATACTACAGTACTGGCTGTATTTGCAATGGATCAACAAGTTCAAGTGCATCTCAGCTGAGCCAAACTTTTACATCACATGAGCCAATTAAACCAACTCAAACATCTAGAGAAATTTGAAATTTACAGGCTTATAGGGAGAGAACATAAATCAATTTTAAGGAAAATAATGCATTTCCAGAAGCATGGGCATCATTATTTGAAGTCACTTTTTAATTTTTAATCAATTAGATAGTGTCTTGACCTTTTAAATTTGTCTGTTCCAAATAAATGTTCTTACTTAGAATATATCTGTAACCTGATGATGATTGCTTATGACAATCAAAGACATTAGTTTTGTATTAAATATACATTTTCAGAGCAGGAATTTGTGTTTGGTGGACATTTTATAACTTATCAAAATATTTTTATTTTATTTCTGGGAGCCTCTACTAATCAAGCAATCAAAAAAATTTGTTTAAAAGATCAACTTATATTTATGTCTTAATTTTTGTCAAAATGTAAGAATTCCAAAATTGGGAGTTGAACTTGCCTCTTAAGCTGGATATCCACGTGAGTAATTTTGCTGTGCCAAGCCAACATAATAATCATGTGACTTCTGCTCGTGTTATCTGGCAAAGAAAAAAGAAGAATAAATAAAACACATTAAGATGATTACATCATCTGACATGGTGGTGAATACAAAGGACATGCTAGAGAGGTTTAAACCCTTCTATTGCCCAAAAAATAAAAAGTTAAAGTTGTTTGAACTTTAAAACGTTGTTTTTAAAACATATATAACAGCAAATTTGGTTTATCAGATTGTCTGCAATATGATTGCCTTTGCACATGCTAATAAAAAAAAAGTACTTCTAATTATTCCAATATTTACAATTTCTGAAATTTAGCACTTCCTTTGCATATTTCCGGAGCCATCACTGGCAACATACCTGTTCTTGTAGAAAAAAAGAAAATGAAACATTATTCTATTATTTTCTCATTTAATGTGTCCATTCACTGATCCATTTTGTAGAAAATGACATAAACCAGACATAAACAATTTGATGGATGATTTTAAAAAAGTAATAAATACATTTTTATCAAATATATTTGTTATTTTTTAATTGTGCCATCGCCAGAGGGAAGATTTTACAAGTTTAACATATTGAGGCAGACGAGTTGCCTCTAAGAAAAGGTCGACTCTGTCGTGGAACTGTTAATTTCCTATGTGCTTGCAAAAGGTCAAAGTTAGAAGACACTTTTATGTATTGTCTATATTAAGAATTTTCTTAAATTTTGTAAGTGTAACTTATGTCCTGGCCATTTTTTTATCAAATGCATCTTATGGAGTTTACTAGTTGTTGATTGTCTGCATGTGATTTGCCTTGTAAAAAGGTTTATTTAGCTCAAGCATCTAATTTCCACTTAATCACAAGGTTTTGATGCTCAATTTATTGAGGTCATGCATGCAACGTTGAAAGCATTCAAATCACACAGCAAAGTAACTTGTGGATACTCTGCTTATAATTTTCTGAACAAGCCCATACAAAAATAATGATGTAGAAGTAGTCAGTGGTCTTAGTTAAAATGGTTCTTTTAATTGTTAATGGTTCATCTGAAAAGTTCTGTTCTTGGTTAAATGGAATTCCAAAGAAATAAAAATTTTATTTTTAAAATGAAATATTTTGTTATAAATTAAATTACATTGGTTTTATATTCTCCTTAGGTAAAGAAAATAAGATGCTGTTTCATTTTCGTGGATATCTTGCTGGATTATCAGTGTTGCGTGGTCACACGGAAAGTCCAGAAGTATTATCATGCTTACATAGATGTAAAGAAGGTTTAGAAGTTCCTCCTTCAAATATGTTAGAACCAGGAATGGTGAATATAATTACATTTTAAAGTTTTCTTATACAAGTTGATGAATAAAGTTGTATACTGAGTTATTTTATAAAGGTTTTTTTTTAAATGGAAAATTGTTTTGTTTTAGGAGTTGTTGAGCAATTCAGAACTTACAGAAGTTATTATTGAAGGAAATAAAAAATCAAATTTAGAAGACTTGATGGCCCAAATTGGTTATGTCAATTCTCGAGAATTTCCTACTCCTGGTAGACGTAGTCTTCACGTCTCAACTTCTATATCGTAAGTATTACATTCTACTTAAATTATATGAAAATTTTTATTTATTAATAATAAAAATTTAGTTTTTGTGGTAATTTCAAACTTATAGAATTAGAAAGATATGTGTGCACTTTAATTTATAATCTACACAATGGAAATTTATTAAGTGATGATGATAACTAATTTTAGACAGTGTATATTAATGAATAGTATTTTAGTAGATGGCATTTGAAATTTGTTATAAATATATTTGTTTATAGTTAAATCTGTCTCTATCAAAACAAAGACATTAGAATGATGTTTTAATATTATATTTTGTATATTATTTAAATATTATTAATGCTAAAAACAATTTCATAAAAGTGTTATAAAAGTATATAATTATTTTTGGAATTTCCCAAATAAAAACTTTCTGTATTCATTATTTTATGTATATGTGATTTTATCTGCACACATACAATTAGTATTAATTAATTAATCCTTATATTACTTATCTTGTTTTGTGCTATCAAAATTTCAAATAAACTGAACAAAGTAATATATTTATATAATAAAAAATAAAAGTAAAAAATAAATATAATCAAATTTTTATATTATTAATTTCAAATTAATAGAAATAAATTCAATTTTGAAGATATTTAAGCATTTTCAAAGTTTACTGATACAAAAATTATTGTTTTTTATATTTATTTTAGCTGTAAAAATGGTAAATCTCTAAAAATACCACAGTCTGAATCATACATAATGGTATTACAACCTGAACTTCCCAGTATTACTATAAATGGAACACCAAATCTTGCACGTGAATATGAAGCTTTTAAACAAGGAATAGAATTATTTGCTTCAGTATCTATTTTAATTAGCCAAGATCATGAAGATGAAATATTTCATCATAGTTCTGAACAAGCCATGTCAGCTGATCATAAATTAGATTCTTGCAGTGTTCAAATTTATCCACCACTGAATCCTGATCATGAATATTTTAAGCTACCAGAACATTTGATGAATCATTTAAGGATACATCATAAGGAGAGTAAAGATGGCCTTGTGATATATGGTATATTGATTAGTTTCTTTTTCTACTATACAAATTTTAATAATTGTTTATTGTAATATGATTTTGCTATTGTTGTTAATTAATAATGTGTTGTAATTTTAATATTATAGTATATTCAATAATTGCAAATTAATCTGCCTTCCAGAATTGTTAGTACAGTAGTTTGATAAAGTACTGATTTTCTAGTTTCTGAGCTTATGATAATAATAATAATAATAATGAAAATTTCTTACTCGGGGCATTACCTACATGAAACCTAAAAACAACAAAACCACAGACCCCACACAATACAGACCAATTACATGTCTTCCAACACACTACAAATTATTGACATCCTGTATCACAAACAAAATATACAAACATGTTGNGTCAGTTATTAGCATCACTTTAAATGGAACTTGTTTAGATTGGCAGTAACGTTTGACTTCAGGTATGAAGTGATGACCAAACCAGTTCTGTAAAAGGGAAGCTGCCACCCAAGCATAAAGCTTGGGTGGCAGCTTCCCTTTTACAGACAAGCCAGCTTTTGATTTATTTTTCAATGCTGTTGGATTTTCCGAACAATAAACTAAGAGAGTTTTAATTTTAATCACCAGCTGCATTCACGCCAACCATCACTGTCAATCAATCTTTGGCGGCCTTAAAACCTGGAAAGGTTTTCTCTTCACACGCGATAAAAGTTCTTTTAGGCATCTTCTTCCAGAACAGGCCAGTCTCATCTATGTTGAATATGGTTTGGCTGGTATAGCCACCTTCATCTATCATAGCTTTGAATTTCTCTGGATAGTAAGACTTTCTCTTTATCAGCACTTGCCGCCTCTCCACTTTCTGCAATGCTATGCCAATTACAGCGACTTTCGAATTGGCTTACTAACTTTAAACTCTTCATCTTAGCCACCTCTCCAGCATCCTCTTTCAATCTCTCAAAAACCAGCTTAGCTTGATAGCACATCGTGTTCTGATCAGCAGGACAATTTTTCACATTTACTTGATTATCACACCATAATTTTAACATTGTTTCCATCTCAGCAATAATACCATGATGTTTAAAAATGATGCTTAATTTAAGGATTGAACATTTTTCACAGCTTCGAGAATTTTTTGTTTACTTTTTATAATTGTTCTGACCGTCGATTCCGGTAGATCAAACTTCTTTGCTAATTCACAAATTTTCATTTTTGTATGGAAGTTTTTAATAATGTTAACTTTACATTCCAAAGATAAAGTTTTTCTTTTCTTGTTGCAGAAGAATCAGTTTTACTTCGTTTGGATGACATAGTAGTCTCTCTCAAGTCTCCTTAGAAATAACAAACACAAAATAAATTGTAGCTAAGCATCGATTCTGTGCAACATGTCTGAACATGTAAGCTGAACAATAGTGTGGAGGGAGTGAGTAATCAAGAGTTGCGTTGCACTCAAACAAAAGACGAATCAACGAGATTTGGAAATTGTGTAATTCCGGGTTCGTGTAAGTCGAGGTATTACTGTATTTTTGAGCTTCAAACTTTAGGACCAAGTAAAAGATTTCATAATAGATGTTCTGACTAAATCAGTGATTCCAAAACTTTTTCTGTACATAACCTTATTCTATTCTTAAGAAATGTCTCAGAATATCAGTTTTTAGGACTTCTAGGGAAAACAAATTCAAAACAACCACTAATTGCATATTTAATCATAACTAATTAAAAATCCTAAATGGTAAACTTACAAGGGAACTGTCGGAGTGGCATCTAATAAATTTTAATAAAATTTAGTTAATAGTTACGTTAAAAGTATACAAACTCTATATTAAATTTGTAGTATTCACTAAAAGAGTTAATCAGAGTTATTAGCAATCAAATGTCGTACTATTTTATATGCGGATTTTTAAAAGTGAAAGGGTCGCGGAGGAAGACGGCGATATTACATTTAGAATAAATTCTGGAATTTTCGAAAATGGGAGAAGAATTAATAACATTTAGTTAATAATTATGTTAAAAGCATGCAATCTCTATATTAAATCTGTAGTACTTACTAAAAGTATTAATCAGGATTAATAACTATTAAATGTCGTACTATTTTATAGTAGTTTAA